TGTGGTGGGATTAGCATCCTTCTAAGAAGAGAAAGAGAGACCAGAGTGTGTGCACTTTCTCTCTCTCTCCTCCCTGCACCTCTCTTCTCCGCGCCACCGCCACATCCCTCTCTTTTCTCTCTATTTTGCATCTCTCTTACCAACAGTGTATGACAACATGTAAGACCCTCAGGGAGAAAGCAACCATCTACAAGCCAGGAAGAGGGCCCTCAACAGGAACAGAATTGGCCTGCACCTTGACCTTGGACCCCCAGTCTCCAATACTGTGAGAAACAAATGTTGTTTAAGCCATTTAGTCCATGGTATTTTGTTAGGGCAGCCTGAGTAGCCTAAGACATCAGTACTTAAATGTAGTCGTAAATCTGCATTGCCAACAAAAGGAACACTACAAATCTTCATTATAGCAATTCCACTTCTAAGTCTTTAGCCAAAAGAAATAAAAACATGTCCACAAAAAGATTTGTACAGAGCTTCCAGTTTCCAGTCCAACATGTAAAGAACTTGGCAGGTGTCACTCCATCAACAAGTAAGGAGCTGAACAGACTAAAAATCAGCACCTATTCTTAGATCTATCAGAGAAGTGAAGTCTCAAGGCAAACTGCTGCTCCAAAAATTAAAGAGAGAGATAGGCAGATACAGAGAATGACAACTTATCAGAGCAAAAGCCTCTGTGGGAAACACTGCTGGAGTAGGAAAACCTGAACTGTAATTGATGAGTTGCTGAAGGCTCAGTGTGGGCAGCTCTGAGAGTTAAGACCTCGGGGTGGGGGAGCTGTCATGGGGAAGAACCCACATTTTCTGACTTACCTCTAAGAGCTCTAGTAAAATCTCACAGTATAGACACCTTCCTTCTTCTGGCTGCGGGAGGATAAAAGCAGTTATTTTGAAATAAGTCAGGGCATTTTGTTCTTAATAAGACCTGCCCTCAGGAGAAATTATTTTACCAAAGGCTAACCTGTTGGGGTTTTATCAGAGCCTAATTAAACTATGGCAAGGGAAATACCCAACTCTCCAAACCCTCTAGATATCATGTCTCACCCAAGGAAGTAAAAAAATATAAGAAGCATTTCTGAGGTTTATAGTCCATGGACAGAAGCTTACTGGAAGACTGAGACCTAATCATGGGACTATGGAAAGCTTCCCCCACGCCCTGCCCCTTACCACCACATTGCTAAGGTCTATTTACTCAATTCCTTTTACCTAGTACATCCTACTCTGCTTTTAACAAAAAAATTACAAGCATACTAAAATGCCAAAAAAGCACAGTTTGAAGAAAATGAGAAAGTACCAAAAGCAGAATCGGATATGGCAAGAATCTTACAAATATCAGGCCAGGACTTTAAATTAACTATAATTAATATGGTAAGTAATCTAATGGAAAAAGTGGGCAACATGAAAAAATCAATGAATGATGTAAGCAGAGAGACAGAAGTTCTACCAAAGAATAAAAAAAAAATGCTAGCTAGAGATTTTAAAACTCTATAGTAGAAATGAAGGATGCTTTGGATGTGCTCACTAGTAGACTAGACACAGCTGAAAAGAGAACCACTGAGCTTGAGGATGTGTCAATAGAAACTTCTGAAACTGAAAGGCAGAGATAAGGAAACTAAAACAAAAGAAAACAGAAAAGAATATCCAAGAACTATGGGACAGTTTTAAGAAGTGTAACATATAAGTAATGAGAATACCAAAGAAGAATGAGAAAGGAAAAAAAGAAATGTCTGAAGAAATAATGACTACAGATTTCTCCCAAATTAATGTCAAACAAAGATCTAGCAAGCTCAAAAAAACACCAAGCAGGATAAATCCCCCCCAAAAAAGAAAAGAAAATTGACAAAACAAATTGTGCCTAGGCATATCATATTCAAACTGCAGAAAATCGAAGATAAAGAAAAAATCTTGAAGTAAGCCAGAGAGCGCTGGTAGGGGAAAAACCCTTAACAGTAGAAGAGCAAAGATAAAAATTACAACTGGTTTCCTCGGAACCCAAGGAAGCAAGAAGAAAATGGAGTGTTTTTTTCTTGTAAATTTGTTTGAGTTCTTTGTAGGTTCTGGATATTAGCCCTTTGTCAGATGAGTAGATTGCAAAAATTTCGGGCAGGGGGGACTACCAACAGGGGGGAGGAACTGCCATGGAGTGAACCGGATGTAACATGAACGAAGTTAGGGTGCAAGCACAGATAACATGGGCACAACGTATACATGATGAACAACCCTGCCACGATTATAACACATGTACCCTCACAACCTTAAAGTACATAAATAAAAATAAATTTAAAAAAAAAAAAAAAAAGAAAAAGAAAAT